TAAGTGTTATGTCAAAATCGAGTAAAAAAGGAGTTAAGTGTTGATGTCCTTATTCTGTTTTAGGCTAAAAATGTCACAATGTCCAAGAGGATGAATTTTCATGTGTTGGCTTGGCTATGAAAAGGCATTCGGCGTAAGTACGGCACGACAAATTAATTACCATTCTTAAGCGATTAGATATGGACGGTGAATAAAAAATCTATATCGGCATCGAATCGCCGTAAAAGTATACGGTTATAATACTAACAGCATAAGGAATGCCGATGACACTACTCTTTTCGCATATAGTTTAGGTGGTAAACGCATTAATCTCACAAGCAGAAAAAATTGTGTAACAACACAATTGTTATAAGCCGGAACATGCCAATAGAACGTGTAAAAAAATCGTTGTCTGTTCTTTTTTTTTTTTTTTTAGCAAAAAAGCTAAATCTTTTTTTTACAAGAAACGACAATGAATGCAAAACAAATAAACGAATTAATTTGATTAATAGTGATTATAAACCGGGAGTTTTTTCTTTTGTTGAGTTAATGCATTTAATTAACGTATGGACATTCATAAATATCATAGAGATGTAAGCGTAAAAATATATCCACCTACATATATACAATATAAATTTACATAATTGTTGAGTGTGTGTGAAGGCTTCCCATAGTTTGTTAATTATATATTCGTACATGCTTTTTTTTTTTACCTTTTTTCTCATGTCAATGAATTAAGCTACGCGCAAAAAAAAAAAATATATTAATTTGCTTCGCATATTAACAATACATTATCTGTCTTGAGCTGAGTACTCACAGCATAATTTTTTATTTATTTTTCATTATCGCACATTTCGATTTTGTTCATAGAATAATAAATGAATGGTTGGTTAAAAACATCATTTTATTCCTCGCAGATACATTCTATTCCCATCTATCCCCATCCATCTTTATCCTAAATAGTTTTATTAAAGCTCAATTTTTATTTTTATAGTCATTGAGGGCTGTCGGCAATTTTCCTCCCATAAAATAAAAAGGATTTCTTTTTAATTGCCTCACTTGAATGGATATTACAGCCATGTATCCATATAGATGTAAAAAGTGTTACATTCAAATTTACATCATTTTCTCAAAATCAAGAAGAAAAAAATCCTGCTTGTTTCACTAGAGAATGAATGAATGAATCAATGAATGATTCGATTGAGAACTATGGGACAATCGTGGCACGATAAAGGAGATGCAATGAAAATGTTTTTTTTTTTTTCCTAGAATTATTACACGTCTAATTTTGTTTTGAAACAGTTATTAGAAATTATTTCAGGTTTTCTGATACCCGATCTTTAGTGCAGGCCCAGAAGGGGAATTGCAAAGATTACAGCGGAGTGATTTCGCTTAAACGATCACGATTATCAGGTGATTATTAGTAAACTCAAAAGAATGACTCCCAGAGTCGTAATCACATGGTAGGGTTACCTTTTGACACAACACTTTTAAAAATAGACCTAATACTCTGGCACGAACTTTTCCAATGTCTGGGGACGAAAAAGAGTTTTTCGTTTGATGCATTCGTTTGTATTCGTTGTTATGAGTGCAATAGTTAGTTCGATATTTACTGTAGGAGAAAACTTGGACGGCTACCATTTAATTTTAACCAGGGCTTGCGTACAATGCATAACGTATAATGTCGATCTTAAATTTAAATATGTGGTTTCTATTTTTCACTTCAATATTCGGAATCGTATGATTTGCAATCGTAGACGAGCAAAAAGTAGACGGACATGAACATAAGATAATTGTCAAAGTATGGCTTACATAACTTCAGTAATCCAATCTGCATATGTATATTTAAGAGCTGCCTTCTGCAATCACCTGACAATCGGTGAGCTCCGACAATTCCTTCTAATAAAAGAAACAAACTATTGTTCATATCTGAAAATTAGTTTTTTTCATATCTCTTTAACTTAAGAATGTAAGGTTTTCACCGCCGCTCGTTTTTAGTAAATTAATTTGTTGGCCGATAAGATTGATAGATTGCCACGCTGTCATCCATTTACCATTTACTTTCCTTTCAGGACCGTTATTAACTGATTAGTCTGTTACAGTTATTAAAAGCGTTACTATGTCGGCGCAAATTGAACACAAAACAGTTACTTTTTCCAAAATATGTCAATTAACAACACCAAGCACTTTCCTTAGGTTACTTATTTCAGCGAAAGTTGAGCTCGAATAAACGAATTTTGAAAATAATATAGAAACATATATATATATATATATATATATATATATATACGCACATGTATGTTCATAAGTTACGTTCGTATGCATCTTAACTATCGTTTTATATGATATGAGCTTTAATTGCTGGCTTATTATTAAGCAAACAATTAAGCCCAAGATAAGTTTAACTTCCAAGAATGTAATGTAATGCAATGCAATGTACGTCGGAAGGTGTAACGTATGCTTCTTATATTTGTTTAGGGATCCACATTAAGTCTATTAGCATTTGCAACGTTAGTCACATGTTAGTTGCAAGTAACGGCAACAGTATGAAAGCATGAATGCAATCAGCGCCATTTAGTGCTTTAATGTCTCAATATTTTTTAAATCATCTACTATTCATTTATTCTATTCAATGTGAACTCATTAATGAAAATCAATGAACTTGCACTGCTTTTATGTATTTATTTACTATCACTTTCGTATTTCATTTAAAGTTGATTTTAATTAAAATTTGTTTTTGTTTATTTGTTCACATTGTGCATACAGTATGCACTTATACATGTCGGACACGTGTCCATGTATTCACTCAACGTTAATTGATATCTTTTTCATCAATAAATAAGATCTCAGATCTAACGGGAAATAATGATAAGAGTTAAATTAAAGGCAATTATTATTTTTATTTTTTATTTTTTAAATAATAAAGCGGTCTAAGCTTTCTTTAGATGCAAAAAAACAAACTCCTCGTGTAATTGCGCCTATTTTTATTAAGTCAGAGGCGATTATATTTTGTATATGAACCGAGCCTTTTGATATCAAAACCTTCAAACTCTTAAGATTCTAAGGCGAAATTTGAGATTTGAAATAAAAAATCGAAACTGTGTGCATATGCATTTTCCTGATTAAAGCTTGCAATGAGCATGGTTTGCTAATATATAGCGCACAGTTTCATTTATTTTACGGAAAACTTTACTACTTACGTACAACAATACGACAAACGCAAGGTTATAGGTCATAAAATTTTCTTCTTCCTTCACTTTTCACTTTTTAGAGGTTTTATCGTTATTACTCATAAGATAAACACATCAGACAGAATGTTTAAAATTCTATCCGTCATATCCCAAGCGCAGATATATAATTTCTGCCTAAAAATGCTTTAATTCTAAAGTAAATCTGGTGGACACCACGACGTGGTCGATTAATTATACCCTACACCACTTGTAGTATAGAGTAACTTAAGTATGTGCGGACGTATGTAACATCCAGGAGGGCTTAAGGTAGACCCACCTTTTATTATACCAATATTGGTCTTAGCCGGTCTGTGCGTTTGGCCGCCTGATGTCTGTGCTTGTAATTTTGCGTTCAAGCTGCAGGTCGCAATTTTCGAAATATTTCGATCAAATTTGGTATATATCAAAATTTCTCGACAATACTGGCTAAGTAAGAATAATGCGGCATTTGGTGTAAAAATCTCGGTTGGGGCAAAGTTTCGAACTCCTTTTGGTATAACAAAAACTGCAATACTCCAGATCATAATAGTAATTTAGGGTAAAAAAATTGACTGTACCACATTTGCATCATCGCGGCCTATTTTTTGGATTCTAAATTTTAATATGTTAAAGATGAAACTTAACCCATACCAGTTATTTAAGACGAAAAAATGCACTTTATCAAATTTGGGCTACACCTGTTTTTAAATCCTACATTATAAAAGAATTTTTACGAAAATTTTTCTTTTTTAGGGCACAAAAGTTGAAATTTCAATATGTTATGATGAAAGCTGATCCATGATAGTAGTCTAATATTAAAAATTAGTTATACTAAGCACCATAATTTTTGAGCCTCTTGGGCGCGACCATTCTAACAGAAAGTAAGCCTTTATTTGCAAAGTGCTCTAATTTTTAATATAACGATCCATAAGAGTCAGATCGTATAAAAACAGGGCATCATTTTTGTGTTCTATGTCAAAAATAAGAATTGTGTTAGACAATGTAGCGTAGGGTATTTAATAGTCGGCCTAGCCCGGTTGTAACGTTTTCACTTGCTTTTTCTTAATAACACCATGAATATGGATGTTGAATGAAAGGGCTTGGAGACTAGAATGCGAGAAGCTAAGTTTATTAGTTCCAAATTAAATACAGCGAACATCGCGTAGTGTATTATTTTTACCATCACATTAGCGTCGATATGGATATCCCATAAAATGGCTTGGAGAGTAAAATTGCGAGAAGAAGTCTGTGTTAATTCCAAATTAATTATTAATTTAATAAAATTTTAATGGTGGCGGAGATGGGAGACTAGGCCTGCGCCGGTTATAACTTTCTTATTTTCTCTCCTACTTGCGTCGCCATACATTCGTATAATAAAAAATTGTTTATCCTTTGAACCTATGTTAATTTCTATGCTTCCGTATTTTCCTCTCATTTAGTTGAAGCTTAAGAATTAAAGAAATGTTTTAAAACATTCACAATCACTTCGAGCCAGGGAATATATAGATTCCCTTCTGCTGCTCCCAGACCCATATACTCGATTAATTTTTTATCTTGCGCGGCAAAATGGGTGGCAATGAAATGAAATCCCATTTAAATACATCGCATAACACATTGTGGAGATATACTTCGTAAGTTCCCAAATTGCCAGTCTTCTTCTTAATCTACATATTCAGAATTATTATTAGACGATGGCAATGTTATGATTAGTACAAAATATTTATTTTCAATTTTATTCACTACTTTTTTACATACATTTTCATAAGTAACTTGATCGATTAACTTAAGTATGTATATATTAATCGAGTACATTCAGGAGAAGCTCAAAGGTTTTATATCGCTAAGAAGGGATTTTACCGAACAGATCAGTTCACTGTTTCTGCATCGTGACTCTAGTGAATCAGGGTAAACGGAACAAATAGTTTGATGCAAATCAGAATAAAACTATAAAGTGAGATTCGAATCAATAAAAATCCAAAGCAGTTTTTATATAATAAAGGTTTACGTACGCCCAGATTGCGCCAGGTAAGATTGTAAGCCAATCGTATTTCGTCGAGATCTTCTGAGCATATTTCAGAAACTTGAACGAATGTGGCTTGTTCAGGTGTTATATGCACTTCTAGTCTGTTCAGAGTATTATCCGCTACATGATTATATTCTAAAATGATGTCACGTCGTCTTGATATACGATTCCATATGCTATGTTTGAACATAACTTGTGTACAATGCAGAGCCATACAACAATACGTATGCATCTCAGTAGCTAAATGCTTTGGTGAGAAATAACCTTTATCTATGTAATAATAGGCTTCCTGATTTGGAAATATGTTAATATGTCTTTCTTTCAAGAGTTTTTGAAATTTTAGGTAATCGTTAATCGGTTTGTCAATAGTTAGGTACTTTTTTGGATTCTTTATATGTGTCGCGGAAGGCTCGGTCACTTCCCCGCGAATGCCTTCACTGGTTATATACAGTGTACATTCGACATGTCGAGTTTCCAAAATGAAGATCACTTCGTTTTCGGGACTGCCAAAAGAAAATATGTAAAAAAAAATTTGCCGATAAATTTGATTAAATTTGTTAATCAAACAATTAAGATAAACTTACTTGCTTTCACTGGGCCTTAACTCCCAATATTTGAAAGGGAAGTGTTCATAACGATCATAGGCTAAACCGAAAATACCTTAAGATATAGGAGAGAATGAGAGAATTATTAGGGCACTGATTATTTTCCGGATGTAATTAGCTATAATATTAACAACGACGCACCTAATCGATCGGTTTCAATTATGATTTTACGTTCTTCTTCAATGTATTGCGAGCTTCTAATATGCCGAGTGGTCCAATGTTCATATTTGATACGTTTAGCCTTAAGGTCGCGTTCACTACCATCGCATGTGCTTTCTGTACTAGTTTCTCCCTTAAGAACCGTAGGTCGTCTATTAAATGAACTCGAAGATCCACGTAACTCCGAACGTCGTTTAGTTACTCGTTTTATATGTGATACAGATATCGGTTTTATTGTTGGCTTTTGCATTTCGTGCTTTTTGCTCCATTTTTTCGCAACATCAAATTTTGCTTGGAATTCGGGCAAGTCAAGTATATCGCGAAAGCTAGGTTCGTACCTTTGTTTAATCAATTTCAATGTGTTAATCAACTGATAGAAGGTTGTTGGTGCAGATGATGGAGTTGGTGAAAAATTGTCCAGAATGCTTAAGAAATGCAAGGATTCTGCTTCCTCAAAAATTGTAAACAATCGCTCCGGATTGTTTTGTTGCGCGGCATCATAGTTAAAATGATGAAATAAGGCTTTGTTAAGTGAGCTGACCCATTTACGTAGCATTACCGGGGCAGCGACACGAGTGCTTTTTTCTTTTCGCTTTCCTTGCTCGTCTTCCTGAATCTCTTTGTTAAATTTGAATGAAGATATCATTTGGGGAACACAAAATTTCTCTATTTTACGCAGTTCTTCTAAGCTCATGAGCCTGTTTAATGGAAAATCCTTTACATAACACCCATCAGCAATTCCTGGTTTACCAGGTACTATTGTTGATTGTTCGGCCATATTTGCCTGATCTTCTGCAATATTATCTAAATGCGAAATTTCAAGGTCGCTTGTCTTACTTCCAAGTCTTTCAAATTTTTGTTCAACACGTACAGGTCTCTCAGTAACTTCATATTGGCACACAATTGGCTCGCTCCAATAGCAAAGGTACTCGGGTATTTCAATTACCAATACAAAAAAAGGATTTTCGGCATCAATTTTTTCCCTTAACGCCTCAAGGTTAGGATTTAGAATGTTTGTGCCGCTTTGTCTTGCTTCCAGCATACTTTGATTTCGAGAACGATGTGTATTAGTTGAATATTTGCGCATCCGTGCATCCCCGTCAACAACGAGATTTCTATTATTCAAATGCCAAACCATATTGTAATTCCCGAAGTCAGTAACTGCGGGCGTTTGAATGCAATTTAATTCATAAATACCGCCCAAAATTACGAATTTCTTAAGGTTAATCTAAAATCGCAAAACTGTTACAAGAGCAATTTGCGGTGAGTAAGACTTCATTGAAACATTTACCTCGTCATCAGTTAGATGAATGACTTGAGCGCTATGAATATTATCCATAAAAGTTTTATGGTCCCTACTTTCCTTTTGAAGAAATTTCTGGAAAATATCCGGATACTCATCGTCGTCAATTTTTTGCGGCGCCTTAGGCATTTTTATACCTTTTGGTATTTTCTGCTTTTTATTGTTTTTTCCATTTTCACTTTTCTTTTGATTTTGCGCTTGTAGAAATTCTTCTTCCTTTTTTTTATATTCCTCATAGTTTCTTACAAGCTGTTTCCGAACTTCCTGCTGAATTTCATTTTGCAAATCGAATTCCTTTAGCAAGCATTCTGACAATTCTTAAAACGAGATGATGATGACGATGATTATGAGTTTAAACATAGTTAAAGCATTATTTATGATCAATCTGTATCTATATACTTAGGCTCTTAGTATATAGCGAATTGCTTTGTTAAGCGAAAAAATTTCATTTTACCACTTTGAACGAATGTGTGCAAAGTGCTTTCCTAACTATATTGGGGAATAGATGTGTAAAAACGACACGCCCTTATATTAAGCTTTAGATTTTTAAAACAAAAACTGCTGATCACAGGTCATTTTTCTTTGAACTTTCATTGTACCTTCGGAAGAAGCTGTGCGAAGTTTCATATCAACGTTTACGGCAATTTTTCTTTTGTTCTCACCTCTCGCGTACATCTTCACTGATAGCTCACTGATACCGAAGGCTCCATTCGCAACCGATTTGACCTCCCCACAAAGTGGGCGCACAAGAAGAACCTAACCATCTTTTCTAAATATATAAAATCATGTAAAGGTGATATATATACGCCATTGGCGCTGCTATCATCTGCTAATAATCAAAATACTTAAAATTCTGATTTATTATATTTGGGAGATAATGGAAGGTAAAGAGTCAATTTCATGATTTCTAAAGTAAATATGGAGGGATGCCAAATTGAAAAAAAAAAAAAAAAAGCATAAAAAAAATTTCTGCTTTAAGATGTGAATTAAACTGACCTTTCATGCAACTAGAAAGAGTTTCTGTTGATTTCTGATAATGCGGCTCAAAGTATTTTATTCTTTCGCTAACATGATCGAAATTCGTATGAACTGCTTGTATAGTCAATCCCTCGCGCAACATTGAATATGGTATATGAAGAATTAAATTCAATTTACGAAAATCGACTAACAAACGTGGTTCACTGTAATAAAGTTTTTTAAGAAGAGAGAAAGCCAGGAAGAGAAAAAATAATTAACGAAATTTGTTATAACGTATGAGAGAGTTTAATTTACGGTGTATGTGTCCAACGTATTGGAACATTTTTTAGGCCCCATATTTGCATTTCAAAGTTACTCGATACGAAGGCATGCTCCCAAGTCAAAGGATCCAGTGATCTGTAAAATTTGAAAAGCAGAAGTTAAAGGGAAAAAAAGAAATTATTCGATAAGTAAATAAAATCGCTGTAAACGAGATTTATAAATTTTCACATTTAATACACGTCCGTCCGGGTGTTAATATAATAATTGTGACAAGCGTAAAAGTCAATTTGATTCTTTAAACCTGATAAGAAGGCGTTAATACTTAATATTCAAAAGAAAAAAATAAAGAAATAAATAAACTTGAGAACTTATTCAGATTAGATTACTGACATTACCATATTGAATAAATAAAATGCGGGAAATTTTCATTTGAAATGATGTCATGACTCACGTCTTATTGTAGAATCCCGCACTTAAGACTCGATAGGTGTAACGATTTAATAATGCCCGGATTTCGTTTTGCAATTCTTCTTTCAGCACTTCAATTTGATCTAAAGCCACTTTTGTGGCTTTGTTCCTTTCCTTATCATCTTTGAAAAAGTATTCGATCCTTCGTAACATCTCCAAATAAGTATCAATTGTTTGTACATATTGCGGTTCAAACTCGTTTTCAGCTGTTGCCAACAATTTTTTTTTCGTCATATTGTTGCAAAATATGTCTTGCGACAAAAGACTGTGCTCATCAGCTAATAGCAACCAATTACGAGTCAATTCTACATTGATTTGTTCGAATAATCGGAATTGAGCCATTTTCGCACGGACATCCGCCGGGATATTCGGTTTCGGCATTGAATCACAATTTGCATACGCGTTCCATTTATCCAGCAGCTGTTGTTTTTCTCTCTGCCGCTCCACAAATGTTGCAGCTTCTATAAAAGGGAATATGGATTGAATGGGTAGAAAGAAATGTTTAGCTTCTATTTACCATTTATAAAATGGATACAAGTCTTTAGATCCGTTATACGATGAGATTGTCTCAACTCTTGTTCCTTTTTTTTCTCTGATGATATAATAACGAACTGTTCGATTTCTCCTTGAACAGGGCTCCCTTTTTTGCGAATGATCTTCGACTTGCGTTTGCGACCGTTCGCCATAGTCTTGCTCTTCTTTTATTTACTGATTTTTTTTCGCGATCCTTGTCCGATTTAAGTTTTAATTACCTTCCCTTGAAAAAATTATCTGGTAAATATCGCGCGTTTATTGTCAAAATCGATCAATACTTTTTACGTATAATCATAAATAATTGCACTGCAGACCAAAATATTTTATTACAAATATTACGCAAAAAGAAAAAGCGCGCGATTGTAAAAATTGTAAAAAAATACAAAAAAAAAAAATTAAATACGTAAAAAACCAACGTTCACGGCAACAAGATATCTAGAAGATTGATTAAAAAATTTTCAATTGCTTTATGTCGTTTTCATATCATGCTAACTAGATTTTATTCGATATTAGAAAAAATTGCACAGTGAAATCATCCACATAAGTAGACTGATAGGGAAGAATTGCGACAACCAAGTTAGTGTTCGTGGGTTCATAACTCAGGGGCGTTAGAATTTACTTTACTCTCAAGTATAGTCAGTGCGCTGTCGGTAAAGGCATAGCAGTTACCGATTGATCGCACAGGAACTAGCCTGCGGCCGTAACGTCTTGTTCTTCACATAAGGGACATGTCCTGAGTGATTTGTTCATTCTAACAAAGAAAAATAAAATCTATCTTTCTAAGGAGCATTAGATTGCCGTTCCGTTATTTCTGAATTGTTTGCCGATACATAAGACGGATTAGTGTCCATCAGTATTATCTAGGAATTTGTTACCTGTTGCAAGTTGTAATCTTGCAAGAGATATTAGAGTCTAACATTAGCTATGGAACTAATAGCCGTTAGAAATTTGAATAAGATAACATTTACGGCATGTGCATCTGCTGGTGGAAAATACTATTAAAGCAATTGGTGCGTTAAGCGAATTCGCGAATCTTTCGATTTCACATTATTATAGGTAGGTAGTAGGGCGTAATTAGATAAGCATACACAGAAGACGCATGAATAATTTGCTTTCAAGTTTAATTAATTGCTTATCTCTACCTGTATCAGTCAAGGAATGACAAACCGTTCGAAATAATATTGCGGATCGTACTTGGGAATTTCAAAAATTTAACGATAAACGGTAACCATTTCTTTAGTAAAGTGAATTTAAGGATGCTTTGTTTAACAATCATAGCCTAAAATCTATTTACGTAGTCTTGTGAACTTAACTCGGTAGGCGTGAACAGAAAGAAGTTTTGAAACAAAGCTTTTACCTACAACTACAACATGATCATCGGGTAGGCTTGAACAACTCAAACCTAACATTTTTTCATTTTACAGTTTTTTTGTTTCAAACATCAATAAATCCAGTTGAGCAAACGAGCTTAACTCGTTTGTGCTTTACACCTATAAATTCTTTTTCACAAAAAAGGATAACTTGTACAAAAAAAAAAAAAAAAAAAAAAAAAAAATACATAATAAATTTGAAAAAATTTATTTCGAAACACAAACGTTTAAGAAGATGAAAAGATAACGCGGGGAAACTTCTAATGAATATTCTAGTAAAGTCCTTATATTTTATACTAATAAATAACTCTTCATAATATCAATAAAGTTTTAAAATTCAGTCAGGTTGCTTGGATAATATTTTGCAAACTAATTTAATTAAAGTTATTGCATTACAACAAGTACATGCCAGAGTTAGCATAGTGTGTGCGAGTTAACAGAAGGAAAGAAAGTATGTTAGTTTAAAACAATTTTAAAAACAAATTAGATCGTGTAGTGAATGTATAAAAAACTATTAAAACTTTATCGCGTACACGTGTTGCTGATATCTAAAGACAATTTAAAAAAATTTTTATTATATGTACGTGTATTTGGAAAGCAATGCAAGCATTGTTCCCTTTGAAGTAAACGTATATTTGAAAAAGGTGAGAAAATTGTATTCAGTCGTGACCGAATCTTTTATACCCGTCACTTCTTATCCTAGAACCGATCAAAAGAAAGAGGAAAAGAACTAAATTTCCCGACTCTGGTGTAGTGAATGAGCGCGACTGATTTTTCCTATTTTCACAGATTAAAAGTGCGAGTTTATATGATGTCTGTGCTGTACTTTATGAGTAATAAGTAAAAAACGCGGAAAGCAAAAATGTTCACAATTTTTGTTACATACGCAAAGTTTTGTTCATTTTAAAATTCTTTTGCAAGTTTGTTCGCGATATCTGCGCATGTTTAGCACAGATACTACACAGTTGGACAGAGGGACATGTTTAGGTGCACACTGAATCCGAAATTGTCCAAGAATTTATGTATTTTATAGGATTTCTGGAGCTTCCTTCTGTGCGCTGTAAAGCTTTTGGGGAAAAAAATGAATTTATAACATAGTACATAATTGACCAGGCGTGGTCGATTTTATCTTTTTTTGTACAGGTACTACAGCTTCGCCAACAGAACATACGTTAACATTTTTGTAGATTTATCTGCTGTAGTCCACGTGAAATGAGGATAAGACCAATCTGTTATTTCTTTTGCAAAACAGAGATGTTCGCGATTTATGTAGCACTGTAGGCGTGTCATGTGTGTCATGTTCAATGTTTGCGCAAAATTTGAAATTTATAGTTTCATTTTTGCGGCCAGAGGAGAACGTTAAAAACAGACATTGTAAAGATGGACAGACAGACCAACTGATGGACATGTTCAAATTAATACAGAATTTGATGTTGGTCACGAATATATATTCTTTATGGAATCTATGAGGCTCCCTTTTAGGCGTTGCGAACGTTTTGACAAAACAAATACACCACTCCATAATCCAATCCTGCCGTATCGGGTATAAAAAGAAGACCGATAACGACGACTGTATTGATTTTTATGAACTCCTTTCGCTCTTCAACTTACATGCAAATGGATAAATTACGTTTGTGGTGGCTGTAAAGAGAATTTCCTTACCAACTGAAGCAATTCTGATTTTTCTCTTCAAAAATTTTGAATTGTCTTAAAAGGTTTTAGGTGGATTTTGAAATTTTAAATTAACGATTTTTTTTTTTTTCTTTGTCTCATTATACAACATGTCAAGAATACTTTTTCACGGTTTCAACTCTAGAAGAGAGAGAGAGCTTTTGCCACTACGTCAGACGTGAAGTTCGTTGTTCGCAAAATTTATTTTTGAAGCCGGTGGAGACGATTTCCTTCTTCTAGAGTGATAATGCATTATCAAATGACAACATTTTTATTTTTGATTGACCAAAACTTATCTTACAAAGCATTACATAGTGGAAGTTTTAACCGAAAACCGCATTTTCCTTTTCGACATAACCCAAACAAAAATTTGAGTTTCAATCATTTTTAAAATCCGTCGTTCACCCACTTACTAAAAGAAACAATTTAGTTTAACGATTTCAAATAAAGCTGTCACGAGTTATCACGTCCTTCGCGAAAACGCCTAAAAGTTTCCTTTATTTAATTTTAAAAAAATTCAGAAACTGAGCTATTTTTTCTTCCAAAACCCATGTAACTCCTTAAGAGATACAACGATCGTCGAACAGTCAGTTATAAGAAATTGACCAAGAAGACCTAAGGTATAAATCAGTATAAATCAGATTTACTCCTAGCACAGGACACCCTGATTTCTTTATAGCATTCATTCGTACATGATTAAGACAAGGAGAGAGAGAGAGAGAGAGAGAGAGAGAGAGAGAGAGAGAGAGAGAGCGGAAGTTTACAGAAACAGATCTCTTTCTTAGTTATGTTCAGGAAGATTTGTAAGATTTTGAAAGCTAATCATCTGTTTAGATGGGAAGATTTTCATCCCAAAAACGCTGCGATTAAACAAAATTGTTGTTGTACCCTACACCAGTTGTGGCGGAAATGCATATTAAGTTTGTATGGATGTATGCAACACACAACCGATTTTGAGATAGACACACCGCTTATTATGCCGATCACCCCTGAATCATTTTTGAATCGATCCAAGTTTGGATGTCCGTCTATCCAATTTTGCTTTTTTGATTGGTTCAACCTACAGGTCACAATATCTGAAATATTCTGATGTGTGCACCGACATCTCCTTACCGAGAGACGAACGCTGTTGAAAATGTTTCGAATCGAGCAGTTTTCGATCACTTTCCACGTCACGGTTTATTTTAGAAAGTAGTCATATAAATGGCGACGTTAAGTAAAGTGATGTAGGGTATTTAATGGTGGGCCGCAGTAAATTTTTTTGTTTTACTTGCCGTTAGTTTCATATAGAAAACTAAATTGACTTAGAATCTTTGGTGGCATATATGTTAATGTTACAAGAAGAAGAATAATTCTAGTAAGGAGTGGGTTACTGTTCTTTCAAAAATGCCATTGTGCGGGCTGTCGTTTTCAAAAAAAGACTAAACCTTTAAAAACCGGGCAATGGTAAGTGCCTTAAATACCTTAAAACACTCTGTTTAATGTAATTATTAATTACTGTTGTATATTTTTCATTAAATAACTAGTAATTTGTTGCCTTATAAGGTTTCATTTTTTTAAGAACTTATCATAGAAAGGCACAGAGATAAGGGGGTCCCAACGCAAATCCCTTAGGGCAAACAACAAGAGTTCCTTTTGAATGATTTCAATTGAATCTGCATGACGCCTACTAGAAGGAGACAGCACAACAGAGGCATACTCAAGTATTAGTCTAACTAAGCATGTATAGCCTTTTTATAGCGTAAGCTTAAATAAATGGGGCACTAATTGGTCGTCTTGAGGTAAGCCAGACTTCATAGGAAATTCATCCGAGGTAATAAAGTTAAACAGAACCCTAAATAATGTATTATGCAGATAAGAGTTTATCTATCAGACTAAGTACAAAGCGAGGCCAGAGACCTGGAGTTTGAAGATCAGTAAGTTATTGTTAACTAAGTCAAACGCTTTACTAAAATCATTATATACGACGTCCGTGCGAGGATCACTAGAAAATGCCTTACAAAACTAGTCAAGTTTATTCTAAGCGATTCGTAATAGTAGATCTGCCTATCAGAAACCCATGCTGGATTGGAGAAATACAAGATTTGATAGCAACACCTAAATGTTGAGTA